CATATATTTTATCATTTTGCGTTCCATTTTTGTCCGTCGAAGGCTGTAGATTGACAGCCGAAAGCTTATGTTATTTTTTGAAATATCTTAGTCAGCGAACATTTTTATCTTTTGATTACGAAGAGGCCAAGTAAATCTCTCCTTATTATTGGTAAGCTGAATTGCAACAATGGCAGAAAAAGGCTAGTTGCTCTTTTTTTTTTCTTTATCCTGAAGAGTTAAGACCCCACATCCACAAATCTGAAAATATAGGCACGCAATGGGCACTTGTGTCTACATGTATTGTAAACACAGCAGACACAAAAAAGGGCTCCAGATGCAATTCAAGTGCACACGATAGTTTCCGTGATTTCAAACTTACTGAGAGGTGAACGTTAAATTTTGATCGGTTCAGGAAACTAAAATTCACGATGAAGTCTAACGCAGCTAATCTACCACGCCGCGGCTGGAAATAAACCATTTCCGTATTACTTTTAGCCTCTTACACAAAGCGAGTCTTGGTGTCCATCCTTTCAAATGAAAGCGAGATTTCATTCACATGCAAATTAAAGTCATCTTCATATGAATGGTTGAGCACCAGGCCTAGCTTCAGTGGATGGTGAGGCTTAAGGCAGCTCGGAAATGGGCTATTAAGCAATAGATCAAAATTCTAATAAAGCAATGGAGGATAAAGGTAAAAGGTCAAGTCTGCATACGAGCCAGGTGGTCCGTCAGGCCGGAACTTCTCTACAGTTTCTGTAGCATGAAACGACAAGGGGTATTTCTACTCCTCCCTGGATGGGATGCCAGTCCATCGCAGGGTTACCCACAGCATTAAATTCGCTGGTACCCATTTATACACCTGGGTGGAGAGACACGGTGAGAGTGAGTGTCTTGCCCAAGAACACAACGCAATGTTCCCGGATAGGGCTCGAACCGAGAACGCTGGATCCGGAGAGGAGTGCACTCACCATGAGGCCACCGCGCCACCCACAACAAAGAACCAGGTTAAATTTATTTGGGCATATATGACAAGCTAATACATTAGTCTTAGAGAACTTAAGCAAGGCAGATCAAATCTCGCAGGTGGTAGCCAAAACCAAGTACTAGAAACTGTAATGATTAAAGAATGAAAAATAAACAACATTTATTATATGGCCAGCTCCGTGAGCGGGCAAGATGAATCAAATCCTGCGCTGTGATTGGCTGCCCGAACGGGCAAGATGGAGCTATCTTGACCGCTCGGGACTACCCGCCGTGTCCCGCAAGAAGAACTTCCTCTATAGTCATATAATAAATACTTTATTGACCAAGCTTGTTTGATCAAGATGGCTAAATATTGGCCTCGTTCTTTTTTAGCGTGTTTCTGGACCTCGACTCCGTCTCGGTCCATAAACACGCAAAAAAAGAACTTGGCCAATATCCAGCCATCTTGACCTCACACTTGGTCAATAACTCATATATATTGCAGATGTTTCTCTTTAATTATAGACATTCCTTAAATGAAAGAATATATTGAGGATAAAGAGCCACTTCGTTTATGTTTTTTCTTAGTTAATAATCCTGATTGTTCACCGAGAGTTATGATTGAAACCAGAAATAATAAGTCTAGCTGGGTAAGTTGTACCGTGTTTCTAAAACTGAAGGCATACCGTATGCTTTGTGTTTTCACCGATATACCAGAGAACCAATATATTGGTGAGCATCAAGTTTGTTTTAGTCAGATGTTTTCAAATGGAGTATCATTTCTCTTCTCCTAAGTTGACGTGCGGAGTCAAGTTTACAAACACAGCCTGTTTTAAGTTGAAAGCTATCGTTAAAAGCAACTATACACACTCTTATCACACAGGATTAACAACACCTTCTATCGTTTGCAAATGTCTGCATTGGTTCAGGAAATATTTGAGTTTCAAAAAAAAGGGTAAAATATGTAATTGTAATAATTGATTACGTCATATAACTCAGCTAAATATTACATCAAGTATCAAGTAGCGCTATCTCGGTCAATTTCCAGTAGAAACCTTCGCAACTTGGCAGGCTAATAATCCTACGTGCAACACATCTAGGCCTATAAAAAATTCCGTTCCCATGACAACCCACTCTTTTCTAGTACCCTCCAACCTGATTTGTGCACCTTCAGTGGTCGCAGATTCTAGTTTCCCAGTAGACAATAGGTTCGCTTTCCTCTTGAATAAAGCCAAGAAATTTCTGTCGTTCGCCTGAAACGCCGATACCAGCGCCATAAGAATCTCTTAGCGCAGCCACAACAAGGTCAGGTTTCACTCTTGATTCTCTTCGGTCAGCCCCAAACTTTACTTGCATGTCGATCTCGCAGCTGGAGACATGCAGAGATGTT